TGGTGATTGCAGCCATGAAATTAAAAGACGCTTACTCCTTGGAAGGAAAGTTATGACCAACCTAGACAGCATATTAAAAAGCAGAGACATTACTTTGCCAACAAAAGTCAGTCTAGTCAAGGCTATGGTTTTTCCAGTGGTCATGTATGGATGTGAGAGTTGGACTGTGAAGAAAGCTGAGTGCCGAAAATTTGATGCTTTTTGAACTGTGGTGTTGGAGAAGACTCTTGAGCATCCCTTGGACTGCAAGGAGATTCAACCAGTCCATCCTAAAGAGGATCAGTCCTGTGTTTTCATTGGAAGGACTGATGCTGAAGCTGAAACTCCAGTACTTTGGCCACCTCATGTCAAGAGTTGACTCATTGGAAAAGACCCTGCTGCTGGGAGGGATTGGGCGCAGGAGGAGAAGGGGACAACAAAGGATGAGATGGCTGGATGGCATCAGCAACTTGATGGACATGAGTTTGAATAAACTCCGGGAGTTGGTGATGGACAGGGAGGCTTGGCGTGCTGCGATTCATGGGGTCGTAAAGAGTAAGACACGACTGAGCGACTGAACTAAACTGAACTGAACTGATCATTGATATGTATATAATTCCTACATAAATAAAAATTCAAATATGCATGATTATAAAACTACTCTACATTGCTTTCCTAAATCCTAACCATTTGGAGGAAAATGTGGCATTGCAGAACATATTTGTTACCCTGTAAGCTATGTCCTTTATGCAACAGAGTGTACTGTGTCAGTTTTATTAAAATAATGATCTAGCTTTAAAATAGTAAGAAATTCTGCAAATAAATAAAATAGAGTAGTTATTCAACATAATGCTCAATGAGGTCATGTCCAATGAAGCAAATATGAACTTTGGAGATAATAGCTAATGTTGTCAACATAAGACATCTAAAAACTAATACATATATAATGTACACATACAGTCAAGGTTAGGAAAGGCGTGCTTGCCTTTACAGTCAAACTATAACATCTTACTCAGGGACTGTTTTGTGTTGGGCTATTTCCCAGGCATAAAATTGTCAGTACTCAGCTGTGGCTTCCAGGGCTGCTCTAGAAACACTAAGAATGAACCAAGGAAGAGCACTGGTAATCATGCTAGGTAAACGATGAGCACAAGCAAAACTGTCCAGGCTGCTACTATTTACAAAGGAATTCTACTCAAAAAGTAGATATTTTTGATTACTGAACAACATGTCGAGTAGTAGGACAGAGACCAAGCTATATACCAACTCTTGAAGCAAAATCTTCAACTGGAAATGGAAGAGTTTGCTTTCCAAAAATTCCTCTTGGCTTTATTTCTATTCATCTGCTAGCTATAATGACTGGGTGCATTCCTGAAACTGGTTTGTTCTGTTTCCAAACACATGAGAAAGTTGTGTCCACAGTTATCAGATGTTTGCTGGCATGTGGGAAGAAATCTAGCTTAGGGCTGGTGCACAAAATGGTCCCAGACTATTCTAGACTATACTAGTGCTAGAGTTCTCAAAGTTCTTGGTCTTGGGAACTTTTTTTAAAAAAAGATTTATTTATTTATTTTTATTTTTTGGCTGTAGTGAGTCTTCACTGCTGCACGTGGCTTTCTCTAGTTGCAACGAAAGGGGGCTACTCCTCACTGCAGTATGTGGGCTTCTCAATGTGGTGGCTTCTCTTATTTCAGAGCAGGGACTCTAGCTGTGGGTTTCAGTAACTGCTGCATGTGGGTTCAACAATTGCTGCTCAGGGGTGCTAAAGGACAGGCTCAACTAAGCACAGGGGCTTAGTTGCTCCAAGGTATGTGGAATCTTCCCAGACCAGGGATTGAACCAGTGTCCCTTGAATTGCAAGGCAGACTCTTTAACCACTGGACCACCAGGGAAGCCCCGGGAACTTTTCATACTCCTAAAAATTATAGAAGCCTCAAAAGAACTGTTTTATATATGTTAACCTATCAATAGTTAACAAACTAAAACTGAGAATGGTTTAAAATATTCATGAATACTTCACAGTCATTAAAATTAATTCAATTAAAATTAAGTCATTTAAAATAATAATCCCATTAATGTTAAAGTACATAAATATTTCCTGAAAAACAACTATTTTTCAAAGCAAAGTTAACAGTGAGAAAGAACAGTATTAGCTTACGTTTTACCAAATTTATTTAGTGCCTGGCCTAATTAATATAGGCAAATTCTAGAATCTGCTTCTATATTCAATCTGTCGGCCACACAGATGGTCACACATCATGTGACCTCTGGAAAACTCCACTGTGGTAAAGTGAAAGGAGAGGGGTGGGAGAAAGAGAGGGAAGGAGAAACAAGGCACTTAGAGTTTTTGTATGTATTATTATCCAGATAATTTTTTACCTCTAGGACCCTCTGAAAGGATCTCAACAACCCCCAGGGAACACTAGGAAACACTCTGAAAACCACTGCCCTAAACTAGTTACAGCAATGGTTTTCAACACATTTTCCACTGAAACACATATAATCTTTTCAAGCACATTTTCATGGATATCTTCAGAATTAACCAAACAGACTATTTTGATCATTAAACTAACAACATCAAACATTTTTTAAATGTTGGGGGGATAGTATGGGGAAGAAGGGGTGCCTGAGATATGTGGTATTTATGAACACATTTTATATGTTTATGGGAAAGAGTTGTGAATAGTGAGCAGGTCCTAGCAGTCTGTTTCCACTCCTTTCTCTCTGATTCGATGAAGCAAAATAGAATGCCAATGATAGTAACATTATTACAGAAATGATTCGAATCTGTTGGACTCTGATTTAACCTCTTTCAGTAAACCATTTGAAAGACATAAGTTAGGTTGTAGGAGAGGAGGTCAGGAGTCCAACTCTTGTGTTTTGAAGGAAGAGCAAACAGATTATTTGCGAAGTGGATATGGGGCATAAGAGAGAAATTAAAGAGAGGCTTTGATCTCGGAAGGCCTCAGCCTGCAATGACTTGAAGTGGGGCTTGGGTTCCCAAGTAGAGATAGAGGCTGGGTCGCGGCAGTGAGAGCAGCAAATCCTAACCACTGGACCAGTGGTCAGTGACAAGGGCCCTGGCTTTTTGGCTCTGTAGAAAAGAATTCCCACAAAGACAGAATGTAATGAAGCAGGTATTTTGGGAGACGAAAAAGAGTATAGTATGTGTGGATAGACACACAGGCAGACTCAAGAGTTTCTGAGTGGAACCCAACGGCAATCTGTATTTCTTTTATGGGCCATTTCTTCTGATTTTCCTTTGGTCAGTTATTTTGATTTGCCTTGGTTCAGAGTCCATATTTAGTATATCTCAGGCTCCTAGCATGTGTGCACTCAAATCTCTTCACTAAAAAGGATTCTATTAAAGAGGCCTCTGGGTATAGCATCTCTTCACACCACAGCCCTTTGACCTCCAAGGAGCCTTTCTGCCTGTGGTCAGGGAGGTTTCCTGACTTAACGAATAAGCAACATTAATACGGGGTCTGGGCAGGCCCCAGCCTCCTCTCTCAGTTGTCCTGCCATTCTCGTCTTGGCCAAAGTAATGTCTCAGGAAAGCAACACTGAATATTCATTAGCAGGACTGATGCTGAAGCTGAAGCTCCAATACTTTGACCACCTGATGGGAAGAGCTGACTCATTGGAAAAGACCCTGATGCTGGGAAGGATTGAAGGCAGGAGGAGAAGGGGACAACAGAGGATGAGATGGATGGCATCACCAACTCAATGGATGTGACCTTGAGCAAGCTCCTGGAGATGGTGAAGGACATGGAAGCCTGGCATGCTGCAGTCCATGGGGTCACAAAGATTTGGACATGATTGAGGAACTGAACCACCACCAAATTTTCCTCTTGGAGTTTCAACCACAGGGATGAATGGCCAATCCCTTTACCTTAGGAGGGGCCGTGGGGCAGCTACATCCTGCCTCAGTTTGAACAAGGGAAGATGGAGCTACTGAAATGACGAACACTGCGAGTGCAGCTGAGACAGAGCTTGAAGCCCATAAGGGCATTTTAGTGAGATTCCTGTCGACTAATTCCGTCTCTGCATGCAGATGGATGGACCAGCAGACAGATAAACAGAATAAAAGAAAATGCACTTATTTCTCTACATATAAGAAATGAAAAATTTCCAACCGTGACTAAACAGTTAATGAGAGTTGGAATTTCAACAGCATTGCAAGTAAGAAGATACTGGCAAAGAATGTTGAAATACATAGTGTTCTTTTAAAGGTAAGAAACCATGCTCTTCCGCCTTCATTTTACTAAGAATTAAGAAAGTACAATCAGTTCCAAAAAAGACAACGTACAGGCCCAAATGAAATGCAGGATACAGCCAGGAGTTTGTTTAAAACCACACACGTCCAACAAATTAAGCCATTTCTGTAGTTTTTAGATTTGTATACTGATTAATCTCTTTTTCCAGCTCCTGCGTTTCTCTGCTGGCTCAGACTTTAAAGAATCCCCCTGCAACGCGGGACACCTGGGTCGGATCCTTGTGTTGGGAAGATCCCCTGAAAGAGGAACTCGCAACCCACTCCAGTATTCTTGGCGGGAGAATTCCATGGACAGAGGAGCCTAGCGGGCTACAGTCCATTGGATCGCAAAGAATTGGACACGACTGAGCGACTTTCACACATGTGATCCAGTATAAGAAAAATGGGCCCAAAAGGAAAGTAATTCTTTTTTGCCGATTAGATTGCTCAATGGTTCAAAAGAGGGAAAAACTGGACTTCCTTTGAATGAGAACGCGCTGTGTTGCCACAGACTCTTCAACCCCAAATCCAGCTAGGCGCCCAAGGGGTTCTCCTGGGTATGGAAGCTGGGTTTCTAAGCAGCACCACCTGCTGGCCCTACACGCGTTTTACTTCCTCGGCCCCCAATCTCTCTGGTGGTGGACTTGCAGTCTCTCAGAATTCCTCGGCACCTAATCACAAGCACAGCAAAATATAAAGCAGTTAGAAAGACCCAAGCCGCTAAACTGCACCTCTGGAAACATCCCAGAAGACTAGCAGCCCTCACGTGACGACCGCGCGCGCGCGCGCGCGCTCGTGCCCGGCCGCTGCGGGCTCGGAGGCCGAAGAGAAAAGACGGCGAGGTGGCTTCGGCTGTGTCCACAGAGGTGGGAGTCGGGGCGAAGCCCACTCGAGGGGCAGGGTGAACGTCAAGCCACTCCTGGGTCCTACTCGGGGAGAGGAGTGATGGCCCGCGGCATCACCTCCAAGTGCGGCACTCCCCGGGTCGGCCCTGCTCTCCGGGCCTGAGAGGGGCGGCGGCGGGGTCAGGGGCTGGGACGTGGGTGGACGCCCTTGGGCCGGCGCTGCCGCGGCCCTGCAGCCGAGCCGGCGTGGCACAGCTCAGCCCTTTCCGCCGCACCCAGCTTGGTTGCTGTCAGAGGCAGGAAGACTGTGACGGACGCCGCGTTGCCCGTGGCCGCCGCAGCCGCTGCCCTGGGCGAGAGCCCGGAGCTGGTCACGGTCGGGGTGCGAGAGGCGGAGCAGCGGCCATTACTGCGCAGCCTCTTCCGCCGGGGTCCTCGTCGCTGCCTTCGGTGGCAGCCAGGTCCCTTTCCTGTCCTCTCAGCGCGGGTGTCAGGCCTCTACTCGGGGACTTTATGGGCCTCAAGATGTAGGGGCGGCGATGGTTAGAGGGGTAATTCCCCCCCCCCCCCAATATCCCGTGCGGAGGCGTCCACCCGGGCCTTGGCTCCGGACGTACAGTTCCTGCATTTTGTTTTTCCGGAGTGTGTTTGGCATCTTTCTCTCTCCTCTCTCCCTCCTCCTCCTGCTCAGTTCTTGGGTCTTGCCTAATCTGACGAGCAGTCCCGTCCCTCGTCTTGTCTGGGTTAAAGCCCAGCACTGTTGTTAAAGCATCAGAACCACTGAGAGGTGTCTCAGTACCCGCTGAGCCTCCAAAACCTAAGTGTATTTTAAAAGACGAGGCTGTTGCTTTGTTCTGGTTGCTGGGTGCGGAGTTCTCTCCCTACCCCCCCCCCCCCCCCAACCCGTCTGAAAGGGTAAATGGATGTTCCGTTGTGGCCGCTATTTTTTGTTTTCTGTGGGCCCCTAGAGAAAGGCAGAAAAATTGTTTTGCGTTTACACACACTTGTGGCAACTAGATCTTTTTCTCTTGATATCAAATTTAGTACGACTTGCTTTCTGTTCCCTAAATGCCATTTTACGAGCACTAATTTCTCAAGTTCCTAAAGTAGGTACATTTTGTTAAGTAATAGTGAAACTGGAATTGAGAGAAGAAAGTCAAGAAATGGTAGAAAATCGCATTGTCTTTGTGATTGACATTTTCAGGTGCCCCTGCAATGTGTGTATTTTTTTTTTTCTGATTAAGTTCACGGGTTTTTTTTTTTCACTTAACATTTTATTGAAGTATAGTTGACTTAGGCTGTTTCAGGTGCGCAGCAAGGTGATTCAGTTATACATACATTATTTTTGAAGTTATTTCCCATTATAGGTTATTACAAGATATTGACTGTAGTTTCCTGTGCTATACAGTCAGTTTTTGTTGCTTGTTGCGTACTTATTTTTTTTAATTAGAAATCCACATTCTATGCATAGTGAGTCAAGCAAGTGGAATCAAAATGTCTTAAAATTTTTAGTCAAAAATTCACATTTTCTAAAATATGCATATTGTATATATGTATACAAAAGCTTTTCTACTACGCTTGATAAAGATTTGAGAAAGAACATCAAAAAGAAAATATGGAGAAATTGGAAAATATAAATGAAGTGGAAGCACTGAATATGAAATAGAAAAAGTGAAACAAACTAGATAAAAGTAAAAGATGGTCATATAGTCCAGTTGTTTTTAAACATGACTGCTCATTAGAAACATATCTGGAGCTTTGGAGAAAAAAAGCAATACCTGGGCATTTATGTTTTTCAAAAAATTTCAAGATAATTTGGATATGCATCTGGATATTAAAAAGTGGTACAGTTTTTTCTATTAAATCATAGTTTTGGTGATTCAGAGTTCTATTATTTTTCTGTTGATCAATCATAAATAATAAGTGAGTAATAATTACATAATCACAATAGTGAAAGATGTTATCAGTTTTCACAATCAATGGCAAGGTAAAAGATAATTACAATTGCAAGCCATAATGGGAACATGATTAACTTAACTTATAAAATAATTATATACAATTTGGGTGGTCAAGCAGAGTGATGTGGTAAGTGGAAGTGCTTACAATGGGTGTACTTTTAAAATAGGGTTTGAAAATATGATATGTCGTTGAAAGCAGTATACATTTCCAGAAATTGGAAGACTTGAGGCTATTTTGTTTTTTAATAAGTGATTCTATATTCATACTTTTAAAAGACTTGTTATATAGGACACAGGAAGAAAATCACCTGCTCAAGTAACGGGATTTATGATGTTAGCTTTGTTGTTTTTGTGACCAGCAAATATTGTTTGTGTTGAGTGTCTGGGAGTCTGTGGAGTGCGCTAACAAAACATGAAAATATGTCCAGTAAATCTAATTTTAAAGAGCAAACTGGAAGAGGGAAAAACCACTCTAAAAATAGATTTTGGCTGTTTGCTTTTGCTTGTACGTCTTAAATTGTAGCGTTTGTTAAGCTCGGTCTTTGATTTAGAATTTTGTTTCAAATGGGCCAATGTAAATTGTGGGCAAAATGAAAATCTGCAAATGTTTACCTGGTAGTAAACATTTGTAGAATTTTGTTATTTACTCATTGTTAAAAACTTGATAGAATTATAATCATCAGGAATACTGTTCTTCTAAATAGCTGGTCATTAGACAAGAGGAGGGAAAAAAAGATTTTTTTTTTAAAGGAAACCTGTATCAACTGGTAAAGTATTTTGTTTTTGAATTGTCTGAAGGATAGGGCAGATGTTTTTTTTTTGGACATGATCTAAAAATGATTTCTCCATAGAAGAAGAGAAGAGTACTGAATCTTTTCACGATATTGGTCTGCTTAGAGAATGTTCTCTCGTGTGTTATACGTTTACTAGCGTGACACACCTGCCACTCAGTTGGAGAGTATCTTCTCCGTCAGTGTCAGTGTTAGAAAGGCTGGGACTGAACCTTTTCCATTCTGTTGCCTGGTTTTTGATTGTGTCCAAGGAACCTGATTTTGTATGACCAACTGGATTAGAAACCGTCTTTGTGTGGTATGCAGACCATCTTATTTACATTCTCCTACAACCACCTGTGCTTATTTATGCAGTGTTGAGTGTTCAGGGCTTACTACCTTTTGGGTTAATTAAAACAGAACCTGTTGTTAAATGCCTGCTGATTTAAGTATTTAGAATTATGCAAGTGTAGAATAGAGTGAAATAACTAAGACATGGGAGTTGTGACTTGACCAAGGTCACACAGATAATTAGCAGAACCTTTCTTCTTTACAAAATGGTTTCAGACTATGCAACTTCTGTTTGATGTGATTAAAAGACATTATTCATTCACTTTCACATTTAATGTTAAAATGCAAAGCCCACATTTTGGGGTGAGAAGTGTAAAGGTTTAATGCTTGGATATGAAGATTGTGAAGCCCAGAGATTGTCATACAGTATTTTTATGGGAAATATTAAATGAAGTGGTGGAAATAATTCTTTAACACAGAGTAGTGTAAAATATTGGATCCCATTTAGTAGAAGTGAGTTTTGACTGTAGACTTTTGGTTCCTAGTATGACTTGTGCTTTCTGTAAGCTGTTTTAACAGGAGATGAGAAGGAAAGCTAAAAATGGAAAAACGTTAGGGCATTTAGTTACATCTCTCAATTTGGGACTCTCTCCTAAGAAGTAGTAAGATGTATTCGCTAAATTACACCCACTCTCTCTCTGTTCCTTTTACTGGCCCTTAATTTTTTTTTATTCCTTTTTCTTTTTTTACTGTATAACAAAAGTTGTAAGATGTGTAGTATTTTTCTTTTCTGTCACTGATAACTTTTATGTAGAACATTTCCTGTTTTGTATATTTTGAATAAAGAGTAATAACTTTTATTAAACATTAGCTGTTAATAATTGGAAAAATACAGGAAATCTTCAGATCTTTATAATTGATATTTTAACTTACATGCTTACCTTTTCTTTGATTTTATTTTAAAAAAGATAATCATTTATTTGAATCTATTGTCTAAAAAAACTTGGCCCATGACTGATTTGAAAAGTAGAATCGTAATTAATCCTAAATATTTTCAAAGAAAATAACAGTGGGTGCAAATAATAGGCGCATGAATTTGTTGAGTGGTCACAAAATTAGAAATAATACAATATTCATTTTCAGTTAAACTTGATTGGTTGAATGAGTAAATGATTTAAGTTCACTGATAATCTCTAAACTTTTATATATTTAAAAAAAATAGTCTGCCACTTTTTTTCCTTTAGAATTGTTAAGGTGCAGAAATAACTAGTTTCAAATCTTTTCTCTTTTTATGTTACCTTCTAATAGTTTGTTTCTGTATAAAATTTCACCTTAAGAAGGAAACTTAACCCATTAACTAATTGATAGATGCATGCCAAAATATAATGGTAAATTTTACTGAATAATTCATATTTAGTTTGGTGATAATTTACAAATCATTCATTGCAGAATGAATTATTTGTTTGAGTTATTTATGTTTACCAAGTTAATTGTGGTCTGCAGTTAGAATTACACTATTCTTTTATCTTTGGTTAAAAGTAAAAGACTCCCCCTCCCTCCCTTAAAAAAATTCTTTGATTTCAAATGTATAAGTTTTTTGAGAGCCACTCGACTGTTCTGAATATTACACCTGGCTATTCTGAATATTACACACCATACCATATGTTGTGCCCAGTTGGCATTACAGTTCTCAGAGGCTAGAGCTGATGGATCTAATTGGTATACCTAAACCAGTCAGTTTTGATCACAGTAGACTATATGATTATTTTTTTAATCTATGCATGCAAAGTTGTGAGTAAAGTAGCATGGAGTTCGTTTTCTTTGTTCAACAATTCTTGCACTAAATTTCAGGTTCTTTTTTTTTTTTTTTAAAGACTGTTGGTATGCAAGACATTCTAAACCTGCGTTGTGATTTTGCTAGCCACTAGCCACATGGAGCTATTGAGCAAGCTATGTGGCTAGTCTGAACTGAGTTGTGTTATAAAGTAAAACATGCATCAGC